TATATATATATTCCATCGAATCGAATCAAAGAAAATATTAAAAAGTAAGATTTGAAAAGGTCCGCCATTTTGCATTTGTACCTGATTGGCTACTTCTTCCCCCCCACTCCACTCCACTCCACAAATTTTCAAATTTAAATATCAAATCTCAATAGTTCTTTTCAGAATTAAGAAAAAAACAGAAAAAAACATTGGATTATGATTTAAAACGACTTATAATAATAATAATAATAATAATGCTTGCTATTAGAAACGATTAGGATCGTAAGACGCAATTTAATACAAACACGTAATAATATTATGCAACGAATTTATTTTTCTAATAGAAAAAATAAGAATAAATAACAAAAAGAAGGAGAAGGGAAAGATACAACAATGACAATGATGACGTTGATGATGATGTGTGACGAGGGGGGTCAACGACGTAAAATACGTAAGCATTATTATCGATAAAACAAGGAAAAAAAAAACATCAATGATGACGTACTTTCTGACGCGTTTGTCAATTCTACTCACATCATATGTTTTCTTTTAATATACACAACTGAAAATAACGGGTTATAAGAAAAAGAAAGAAGAAAGATGACCTATATATACATATACAATTATCTATGGTCGGGCAAGACGACTACGTTAGTCTTTTTTCTAATATTAGCTTGAATTCATTGAAAAATAAATTTGATTCTTCGAGGAAGTTATTATGGTCAATGAATTAACTTAGTTTCCAAGAATAATTTTATTTATAAGCAGACTTACAAATTTAGTTTCATGAATTGTACCTATAGCATATATGTAATATCATCTAATAAGTCATAATATGGAAATAAACCATTTTATTTTTAGAACAAGAAAAATATTAAATATTTATTATTTGGAGGTATCGTTATCAAAATGAGTTTATAACATAACTAGTATAATATTATCTGATATTAGATAACTTTCAATTAAATTTTATCCTAAGTGTTTTTCCATATAATAAATAAATAAAATAACAATATACTTATTGTTAACGTAATCTTGTTTTTAAAGTTAATCAACGAAATGTAATAGAATTGCAAATTTGGTAGATAATGAAAAAAGAAACAAAACAAAATAACAATATTAGTAAAAAATTAAAAAGATTATTCGAATTAGGTCAATGTAAAAAAAAAATGCAAAAATAAAAAAATACCAAAAAAATACAAAATATTGATAAAATGAAAAACTCGGTCGGTAACAAAAAAATACAAAATTCTACAAAACAAAATAATAATAATAATAATATGAAATTATGAAAAAGAGTTAGTTCGAATGAAGACAATTTACACTGAAAAAGAATGTAAAAACATAAATAAAAAAAAAAAATAATAAAAACAGAGTACGTACGGTCGATAAAGAAGAATTGGCACAATTTCGTATGATAAAAAAGAGATTTCAAAAATACACGTGTGTGTGTTGGTATAGCACGTTTATGTAAGTTTATGTAAGAATGTAATTATGCAGTTTGAAAGGATACTGCTGGATCACGTAATACACACACACATACACATTTATATATACATGATCGATTGAAACTAATTTAGTAACTCTTTTTACATGCAATAATCAGAAAATTTGTCACAAGATAGTACTGTTGTCATTCATCACGAATGATATATATATAGATAGAATTTAATCAAACGTACATGTATGTGTGTGTGTGCCTGGTACGAATGAGAACCGGTCGATCAATTTTTTTATTTATTATTTTTATCTTCTCGTGTAAATCACGTAATTTTCAAAACAAAAGCATAGAAGAATTTATACAATTCGGGAAAAATCTATGAATCATTTTCATTGAATTTATCCTCCAACACACACCCATACATTCTTGATTTTAATCTTCATTAATGTATTATACATGTATATGCGTTGTGTATGCACACGTGCGTGTGTATGTATATGTGCACGCGCATGTCCATTATTACGTATTATGAATAATTGAAAGTACAAAAAAAGAATCATTAAAAAAAAAAAAAAACAGAAAGGTCAAGTACGTAATATAATACGAAGTTATGACAACGTAATGATTTGTTAATATTTAATTGCAATCAATGATTATAACACAAGTAGGATGTTCACAAACAATTCGGATAAAGAATAGGAGCCAGAAAAGTTAGTGGGGGAAAGGATTTGAACATCAAATCCGGAAAACGGAAGGACCAATCTGAAGTTGGCAGTGATATATATGTGTGTGTATATATATATACACAAGAGTCCTAAAGTATTGATCGAATCATCTAGAATAGTTGAAATACGTCGTAAATGAATAATTATTATTATAATACGATTTAAAATAACAAATATTTATTCATTGATAGAGACTTTAATCGGATATTGTTTACTGACGTCAATTATTTCTTTTTTTTTTTCATATTAACGAAGGTATGTTGTATAATGAAGTGAGGAAGAATACACAACGAAGGATAGATAGAGAAAGAGAGAGAAGAGAGAGGAGAAGAAAGGAAAAAGAAAGAAAAGAAAAAGAAACGGAGGCTACCATCGAGGTGAAAGCGAGCAAAAATGGCGTCCTTCGAGAGTGGTATCGTTCTCACGACGACGATACAACGACAACTTCAACGTGAAATGGTTCTTGCAAATTCAACTTTCTAATTCTCTCTCTCTCTCTTTCTCTCCCCCTCTCTCTCTCTTTCCTATGTACACATAGCAACACCTATATAAATGTTTAAGTAATATTATAACTAATATTTAGGTGTGTTAATAATAATAAAATATAATAATAATAATAATAATAATAAAAATAAAAATGAAATAAAATATATTAACCTCTTTCTTTCACCTGACAATAAAAAGAGAAAAAAGAACCCCC